ACCACAACTGACAATTAGTTCTGCTGCAAAATGTTTCTTATGTTTTTGACCCACAGAGGTTTGTTAGTATAAAACGCAGGCTGATTTTTGCTACGCTGACAGAACCTTGGGAGGAAAGTTTAAAGGATATTTGAGACAAAGAACACCTCTTGACACACACATCCAGTGACATGTGTGATGAAATCCTGAAGGTGGGGAGCCTGCAGGAGTTCCCTTTAGGTGGGATACAGAAGACAGTGTCCTCCCATCTTCCACACACATTGGATAATGGACATGACTCTCGTTTGTCATTAAGGACAAATTCACACAGATAATTTCAGCTAGTTACTATTGTAAAGCTAGCTTCATAGGTCATGGGAAAAGGCTCCTTTGTAGCCAGTCACAGTGGTTAATAAAGTGGATCTGTACAAACCATGGTTACAGCCATTGGTTAAAATTACACAAAGACATATTCTGCTGCCCAGGAGCAGGCCAGGCCAGTGAGGAAGAACAGGTGAGTGATCCGCCTGCCAGCTGACCCAGTTCCCAAGGAGGCATTACACCACTCCTTTCTGCCCTCTCATGCCCCACCCCACTGACAGCCTTCTGCCCCCAACCCCTGCAGACTTCCACTCCTCCAGTTCAGGCCACATCAGTCAGAAGAACAGGAGAGACCCACCCAACCATGCTGCACCAAGGCCAGGGTAGTCACCAGAAGTCTAGCTCTCTAACTAAGACAGAGACTCTCTACTAGAGCAGAGATAGAGAACATGCCGGCCTCCAGAAATCCAGGCCAAAACAACCAGAAGACCAAAGAGGAAACAAACAAAACATCCATCCAACAAAGACAAACCCCAAAATCTGCACCTTAACCTATAATTATCCCAAATCCGTTGGCACCACCAGAGCCCAGATTTCCTACAACAGCAAGATCTGAATATTCCAATGCAACTGAAGCACAAGAAAACAACCTAGCACCAACTTTATGAAGATGATAGAGGTCCTTAAGGAGGAAGTGAAAACATCTCTTAAAGAAATTGATGAAAAGACAAGCAAAAAAAATTGTAGGATATCAATAAATCCCTTAAAGAATACCAAGAAAGTCAAGAGAAACAAAGCAACAAAGAGCAGGTGAAGGAAACTCTTCAAGACATGAAAATGGAAATAGAGGCAATAAAGAAAACACAAACTGAGGAAATTCTGGAAATAGAAAATATAGATAATTGAACAAGAACTACGGATGAAAACATAATCAGCAAAATACAAGAGATGGAAGAGAGAATCTCAGGCATTGAAGTTACAATACATCAGTCAGAGAGAAAGGTAAATAAGAATCAAATAAAAGACTGAGACATAAATCTACACAATATGGACATCTAATTTTTGATAAAGAACCCAGAAATACACAATGGGAAAAAGAAAGCATCTTCACCAAATGGTGCTTGTCTAACTGGATGTCACTTTGTAGAATTCAAATGGATCCATATTTATCACCCTGCACAAAACTCAATTCCAAGTTGATCAAAGATCTCACTCAACATAAAATCATATATAATGAACCTGATAGAAGAGAAAGTGAAAAATAGTCTTGAATGCATTGGTACAGGAGACAACTTCCTAAACAGAACACCAAAAGTACAGGCACTAAGATCGGCAATTAATAAATGGGACCTCGTGAAACTGAAGAGCATCTGTAAGGTAAAGGACACTGTCATAGAATAAAATGGTAGCATACAGAATGGGGAAAGATTTTCACTAACTCCACATCTGACAAAGGGCTAATATTCAAAATGTATAAATAACTCAAGAAACTAGACACCAACAAACTAAATAATGCAATTCTAAAATGGGGGTACAGATCTAATAGAATTCTCAACAGAGGAATCTCAAATGGTTGAGAAACACTTAAGCATCTGCAATGTCTTCAACATCCTTAGTCATCAGGTAAATGCAAATCAAAACGACTCTGAAATACCATCTTACACCTGTCAGAATGGCTAAGATAAAAAACACTAATGACAATTTATGTTGGAGAGGATGTGGAGAAAGGGGAACACTCCTCCATTGCTAGTGGAGTGCAAACTTGTATAACTACTTTGGAAATCAATACAGTAGTTTCTCAGAAAATTGGGAATCTATCTACATCAAGACCCAGTTACATCTCTCCTAGACAAATATGCAAAGGACACTTCATCCTATCACAAGGACATGCAACTATGTTCATAGCAGCTTTATTCCTAATATTCAGAACTTGGGAAACAGCCTAGATGTCCCTCAGCTTAATAATGGATAAGGAAAATGTGATACATTTACACAATGGAGTATTATTCCCAGCTGTTAAAAACAATGACACCAGGCAAATGGATGGAATTAGAAAAAAAATCATCCTGAGTGATATTACCTAGGTTCGGAAAGACAAACATGGCATGTACTCACTTATAAGTGGAAATTAGCTGTAAAGTAAAAGACAATCATGCTAAGAACCACATACCCAGAGAGGACAAGTAACAAGGAGAGCTTAAGGGGGGGGGAGTGCAAAGATCTCTCTGGGAAGGAGAAATAGAGAATATTTCTCAGGTGGACTGGAAGTGGGTAGGGGTAGGAACAGGAAGGATCAGGTAGAGGAAGGGAGGGAGAAAACACTGGGAGAAATGACTGGAATTGGAGGGTCCTGGGGGGTGGTGAAGTGGAAACCCAGTGCAATGCGAACTCCTTGGAATCTATAAGGATAACCCTAGCAAAGACTCCTAGTAGCGAGGACTTGGAGCCTAAACTGGACGTCTTCTGTAACCAGGCAAAGGCCTCAAGTGGAGAGATTGGGATACCAATTCAGCCACAAAACCTTCAGCCTACAGGTTGCCCTGCTTACAGAGTGTTCCGGGACTGGAGACTAGCAAGATCCTCATCTAAGAGACCACAGAGACTTCATCCAGCAACTAACTGGAGCAGATGCAGAATCCCACAGCCAAACATTTGGCAGAAATTGGGGAGTCCTATCAAGAGAGGGGGGAAAGGTTCAGAGAAACTATAGGGGTTAGGGACACCATGGGGTCACGGCCCACAGAAACAACTGGCCAGGACTCATGGGGACCCACAGACCTCAGGGAGCCTGTGGGATCTGATCTAGGTCCCCTGCATATGTGTTATGGCTGAGTACACCGGGAGCTGGGTCTTTCGCCTGCTCGTAGGACCCTTCTCCTCCTACCGGGTAGTCTGTTCCAGCCTTGATGTGATGGTATGTGCCTGGTCTTATTGTAGCTTCTTATACTGTGTGGGGTGGATGTCCCTGGGAGGCCTACTATTTCCTTAGTGGGAGGTAGGAGTGGTTGGATATGGGGAGGGGAGTGTGGGGGGGTGGGCAGAGACTGATGGCCTGGATGTGACAAATGAGAGAAGAATAAAAAGTATGACAAAAAACTTACACAAGACACAACAATGTGTCTACTTAAATCAATTCCAGATTTAACATCACATCCTCTGCCTATGAGTGATAATTAGATAATAAATATAATTTTTACCCATTAAAGCACTAGGAATTTATTATCATCATCATCATCATCATCATCATCATCATCATCATTATATTTTCTCTGCCCTGAAAATGGCCTGGCAGTCATTCAGAAGGAATCATCAAGACAAGAGAGACAGCGGGCAGCCTGAGGCTCACCAATCTGCAAGCCTCTCTCCATCCAGCACAAACTTCTAACTCTAGGGGGGCAGGGAGATAGGGTGGGGCATGTCTTAGCCACAGGGCACGAAGGCTGAAGAACAGGACACAATGACACTGAGATAGTGACACATCCTTCTCAAACATAGAGTTCTTCAGAAGCTTGACTCAAAGGTCACCCATGGGAGACTCACCAGATGGTACTTATTTTTAGTGCACCATGTATTTTTATTTTTAGCTACTTATTTTTATTGATGTCTTTAGGCATGACATGATGCATATAAATGTATGTGTCTCTGTGTATGTATGTATGTATGTGTATAATGGAATGATTAAATCAAGCTATTTATTATATCGTTAACTTTTTGAATGATGTTTAAAATATGCTCTCAAGATTTTCAAATATTTATTATTGTTATTATTATTACTATTATTGTTATTATTATTAACTATTGCCACCAGACTGCATAATAGCTCCCAGAACTTATCATCCTATGTGGCTGAACCTTTGTAACTAGTGTCTACTTATTCTCCTCATGTTTTACCCTTGTCCCTAGTGCCATCCACTGTTTTCTGACTCCATGAGTTCAGCTTATCTGACATCGTGCAGATCATGCAGTGGTTATCTTTTTTTGTCTGACTTATTTAATATAGTGTCCTCTGGGTTCATGCCCATTATTGCAAAAGATTTCTGAAAGACCCCGAATTTATAGAAATAAAATATAAGCTTAAACAGGGAGGGCACCCCACTAGAGAACTTGGGAAGTGAACAAAGGACCCCATCCCAGGAACTGACCAAACCACAGAATGGAATGTATGGTTTAGCAACCTTAATTGCAGAAGGGCTGTAAACCCACAAAAGGCCAATTTCCGGGCTGCTGACCACCTGTGAAGAACTGACCAGGGCGTCAGAAATGGGCAAACAAGATTCGTGGGAGATGATAACCACCATTTACTTAGGGAGAGATGATTAACTCATACCAAGGTTTGAGGAATTTACAACGTGTAGGTCAGGAAGACACCTACTTCCCCTGGTCAGTAGTCACGTACCCCCCCCCATCACAAGATAGGGACCCCTCCCAAAGGCTTGTGGTTTTTGTCTTTAAAAGCTGATTGTAACTGAACCTCGGGGCCAATTGGTCTAAAAGCTGACCGAGAGGCCCATCTGTAGATGCCTAATTAAAGCCTCTTGCGTGTTGCATCAATTGGTGCGTGGACTCTTGATTCTTGGGGTGATGAATCCAGCTTGGGGACCCCTCCTCAATTCGGGGTACCCCAACAACTTCCAACTCACAGTCATCAGCACCCTGGCAGTCAAGGGCCGCTGGCTCGGTGCACTCTCCAGTGGACTTACCTGGTGGACTCCCATGTCCTGCTGCAGCCGTGGCGATTGCGAAGGCAGAAGCAGGTGAAACAGAGCAGTGGCTGCTGTCAGCTACCTGTCCTGGTTATTTAAAGAAAAAGGAAATGCAATGGTGAGCCTCACAGATAATATTCCATAGTGAATATTCTCATTTTAATACCTGTCCTGGATGAAGGGCTGGGCCAAAGGCCCCATGATATCCCTGTTAATAGGTAAATAATAAGATTTTACACCAACAATGCTATTCGAGGCACACAACAAACAAAAGCATATGTTCATGCAAAAACGTATACTGAATATTCACAGAAGCTACTTCACTGTAGCCAAAAACTAGAAATAATCAAATGACCATCAGCTGAAAAAAACAGATTTTAAAAAGATAACATTATTCCACCATAGAAAGGAATGCAGTTTTGACACATACAATAAAACGGATGAGTCCAGAAAACACTGTGTCAGGTGAGAAAGCCAACCCTAAGGTCCCCACTGAATGTAGCTCTGTTTGTAAATGTCTACAGTGGGTGAATCCAAACATAGAGATCAGACATGTGGTTACTAGGGGCGAGGTAGAAATGGGAGAGTTTGTTGATGACTACAGGATTTCTTCTAGGGTATTGGAAATGTTCTAAAATTAAACCATGGTTATGGCTGTCTGGCTTTCAAAGTATGTAAAAATCCAATGAAGTACATACTTTAAAAAGAAGGAAAAAAATTTGTGGCATACGAATTATATTTCAACATAAAACTATTTTAAGAAGTCTTAAGAAGACTTACGTCATGTTTTTAGTACACTTTCTATCCGTTGATGGATGAATACTGGTTAAACATGTGTAAGGCCTATGGTTTGGTTCCATCCTACTAGAAGTCAGGAGCAATCATTGTTATTTGGAACCTCTTGTAAATACTGTCAGTCTTTTTTAAGAATAGTCCATCCCCTCCCCAGCTTCCTAATGACTAGAACTTGAGCTCACAGGAATAGCCGATGGCAAGAAGGAAACATTCCACAATTAGATCACTTAACCCATCCCTCTGTGACCCTTTAACCTTGCCAACAACACCTGTTATCCGCTCACCTTCAGTGGCCTGGTTACTAGGCAACGACCCCTCCCTCATTGTCCTGCCTTCCTCTGCCCCATGCCCTACCTCATTTCCCCTATGTAAGCCTGTACGAGATTCTCGTTAAATGCATTGATCAGCCATGTTGTCTTGCTGTCCACTTCTCTTGTCTCCTGTCCCCTCATTCCAGGTTCTGTGGGATAGACCATCTTTGTGCCCTGCTGGCCAGGGCACTGAAGGATGAACTAAGTGTAGCTCACTTAAAACTAAAAGGATGTAGGACTGGGGTTGTCTCAGTGGGTAAAGTGCTTGCTGCATTCGCACAATGAGTTAAGATCTCCTGCACCCCTCACAGAAGCCAGCCCGGAAGACACACCTGCAATCCCAGCACTGAGAAGTGGGAACAGGCAGTCCCAGAACTACTCAGCCACAGAATCTAGCAAATTGCGAGCTCCAGGTTCAGCAAGAGGTCCTCGCTCAACAGAGAAGATGGAGAAGGACAGAGAAAGACATCTGACATCCACCTTTAGCCTCCACACACGCATGCATAGGTGTGTATATATACACACCACACCAAACACACCATGCTCACACGAACCATACTCACACACACCATATACATACACACACCACACCATACACACCACACACATATACACCACACCACACACACACAAACACCACACCATACACATACACACCACACACATATACACCACACTACACACACACAAACACCACACCATACACATACACACACCACACATACATACATACCATAGACACAAACACAACACCACACACACACCTTCCCAAAGCTGCTTGCTGTCAAGCCTGTTATCTGAATTTGAGTTCAATCCCCAAGGACTCCCGTGGGTTGTCCTCAGATTATCACATGCATGTCAGAGCACATACATGTACACTCCCCAGTAAGTAAATAAAGGTAAAGTAGTTAATTCTTTGGGTTGAAAGGGTGTAGTAAGCAGCGCTATCACATTGCAGACTATCAGGTAGCCTTTCCTAATGCCGTTGTTGGTGTCACTGCTGCCTCTCAGGTTTTAGTGAAAACAGTGTGCTGTGCTCCTGACCTGAAAGGCTTCCTTCTGAATTCTAGTATGCAAACTATAAGCAAATAAGTGACTAGATGGTTAATAAGTAAGGTGCGTGGATGAATGATTGGTATATAGACAACAGATGATAGACAGACAGAAGGACAGAAGATTATATAGGATAGATGGACAGATGAATGTCTATGTTATCAATGGATTGGGTGGATAGGCAGATAAATAGATGAAGCAAAATGTTTCACAATGTGCCCAAACATGAAGTCAGGCGCCAGATGTATTAGTAAAGAAGCGAAATATTGGTTAGGCACTAAGAAACTATATGACACTGTCTCCTATTTTTAGCCATTATTTTATGCCAGGTTTTAGGTTACTCCTTGCATTCTTTTCTTTATGATAGACAGGAAATAATAAATCCTTACATAAATTAAGATTTTAACTCGAATACACAAGTGAGTATAAAACTACAGAGCAAAGCTCTAACAGTAACAGGCAGAGCAGTATTTAACCATTGCCAGTCTTCCATGGGCTCTGACCACATTCCTTCCAGGAGAGCTCCTGAGGAAGCCCACTGTGACACTTCCCAAGGGAGGTTCCAGGTCCTGCAATGACCAGGACATTAGGAACAGTAGAGAGATTTAGCTCACTCCACAGGAGTCATGTGACAAGACAGGAATGCCTAGCAGGCTGCCTTCACTTGCCAGGGCCACTCAGATGGCAAGGAGATCGGAAACTGGCCAGGAATTTGACCCCAAGGACTGAGATCTGGACACAGCCTACCCAATACTCTTCTTGCTGCTCTCACAAAGGCTGAAAAACGGCAGCTCCTTTAGAGTGGCTGGGGCCACAAACACAGGAACCTCCCAGAGACGTATGCTTTCGTCTTTTGATAACTCGCCCTAGATGAAGTCTGAGGGTAAGACTTAAAAGACGACCTCTGCATTTTGCTTGGCTTACTTGGAGTGAATCTGGTTTAATAATTTTCTTTTGACTTGAAATAATCAGCTACGGAGAGGGCAGGGAGAAGGAGACATTTCAAAACAATACTGATTTTAATATGTTTATTTGAGCAGTAAGGACAGAAAATGGGGAGATAAGTTTCTCTTCCAATTAGCAGATAGTTGTTGTGTTTTGAAACAAACTATCATATCATAATTTTTATAACTGTATACGGAAAAACACATCAGGTTCTACAACTAATAATAATGATAGGGTCCCATTCAGCTGAACCTGATTTCCTGTGAAATAAGAATTTCTAAGAAGGCTTCCCCAAGCCTGCTCATACAGCTTACACTGGGACTCAGGGTAAGGAAGCTGCTCCCTCCTTCATATGGGCCCGGCAATATTAGCCAGACTGAAAATAGACTTCCTAATCCTTTATGCTTCCAAGGCTTGGACTGATGCAACATGGCCTGCTTCTGGTTAGTCTTTATAACTAAGACTGAGCAATGCATGGATCTTGAAACCCAAGATGACTTTTCTATTTCTGAATCTCTGGCTGAGCTCTTACCTCCAGGCTGGCGATATCGGAGGTGTCGGGGAGTTGAGGGGGATCTGCAAGGTGACAGCTCTGTGGAGTCTCCTGCTCGGTCAGCTGGTGCAGACTCAAGGACAGCTGCTGGAAAACACAGGGATGTTACCCAGGCTGTGAGTTCTAGAGTACCTTGGCAGTATCATACATGGAAGTGCAAATTTGTTTACTGATAATAAGCATTTTGTGTTGGCTTACACATTTAAAGTGCTTGCCTATGAAATCAAGTCATTCATCTCAGCAGAAGACTAAGAACATGATTTAAATCTGGATCTTCACAAGATGGGCTTAAGATTTACTGATCCTGTTGAACCCATGGCTAACCTAGGCCGGCCTCTCTGTCCAGTGCAATGGGAGGTTACAGAGAACAGGGAGTGTGAACATGAACTTTTTGAGAGTGGAAAATAATTTGAATCAAAAGCAGGATTTCTTCTTTGTCTAGGTTGCCCCTTAAGGAAGCCCAAGCGGGGAGGGGTTCTTTCAGATCTAGGGATACATTTTCCAACAAGGCAGCACTAACCAAACATGGCCAGATGACAGATTTATATGAGCTAAAATTGAAGTCATATTTTAACTCCCCACTAGCACTAGTCATGTCAAGGCTTAGTAGACACCCATGGTTAGTAACTATAGTTTTGGGCAACACAGCTATAGAGCAATCCTCTCTTCTTGGAAAGGCGTATTGACTAGCTCTGAAGTAGAGCTAGTAAGCAAGAGAATTTCTTTTTTTGGCAGGCTTTGTGAAAGCTTTGCCTCTAAACTACAGTCCAGATGAAAATTTCTTCAATGAACTGTAGAGAGTTTAAGAGGATCCCAGTCTTTGAGTGACAGCTGATAGCCCAAGAATGAGATTGTCTTTCTAGGGCCATGAGCAGGGTTATGGGGTGGTGCTTCTAAATGCCTTCCCCCGACTTCTTATGCAGGCAAAACAATAGCATGTGTATTGTTCCAAAGGAAAGTAGAACCAAAAGTTAATTTATGTCCAACACATCCTCCTTTGCTTTTTAATCAGATCCTTAATTGGCTCCCATTGATTACATTTCTGTGCCATTTCTACTAATTGTGTATTATCTTGATCAGCTAAGTTGCTTCCCTTTTCATTCCATTCAAGGCTTTACTCAACAAATATTCCAAAACCCATAATGATTTCATGTAAAGCTATTTTTAAACTTGCATATTATTTACTCCCTTAGAAATGTGGCCACAATTTTGATCTTTTGAAATGCAGTAGGGCTGGAGAAAGGAAGTGGTTTGAATCTTTTCTTGAATGACATAATTACAGTAAAGTTGGCAAGATGCATAAAAAAAAAACACTGCTTAGCTGTTAGTTTTATTATTTTCTAAATAGCTCCCTCAAAGTTCAGTAATGGGATGCATCTGTTGTGGAAGGCAGAGAAGAATATCAAATGCATATCCTTGGTTCAATTCAAGCACACATTCATTCATTTGAGGATAGGAGGGAAACTAATCAGCAATACATTAATTTTTATTAAAAACAACAACAACTGAGAGAACTTGATAGGACCACAATGTCCTGAAAGAGTAGGGACAAGCTAACACACACCTACAGATGAAGCCACACTGTGGAGAAGCTTTTTTTGGCTTGCTCACTTTTAACCAAGTGCTATGCAAACAGCTTTGCCTACAGGACAAGTGGGCAGATGTGGGCTCAAAACAAATGCTAAAATCAGGAGCACTTTCAGCCTACAGAGAAGCAGTTTTCAAACTAAGAAGACAGACACAGACACCGGTGCTGTGGGCTGTTCAAACACACTTGGGTGGCTCAATTGCGTAATCATGGTCTGAGAGAAGCAGGTAGGTAGGAACGGCGACCGTGCTGGTAGACATTTGCCTCTTCATTCCTGCCTTGCCTGCCATGGGCTTGATTTTTCAATGAATACCCATCACTGAGAACTTTCCAGGTGTTTTTTTTAAAAAAAAACATCTGGGGGTAGAAAGAAGTAGGGATGGCCTAATAGAGGGACAGGAACACCAGTGGCTATTAGAAGAGCCTAGAACAGATTTGGGGACTAGGTTGTAGGAAGATTAAATTATTTATCTCTAAAAAAATTACCACCCTGTTTATTTTGGGGAATATTTTCAACTTTTCTTTTTTCTTCACGGCATTTGAAGTTTTCTTGACATATTTCAAAACTGGCATTATATCATCATAGTAACAATGAGATTAGGCAATGGTCACCAGCAGATTTCAAAGAGTTTACCCTAAAACTGTGGATGGCAGTAAGGGAGACTTCTATGTTCCCTAGGGGTACCATGGGTAGAGCCGAAGTTACACACTGAGATTGTGTGAGGTTGGATTTGAAGTGCAAAGCAAAAAATGTAGCAACTCTTGGCACTGGAATTTGCCAGCTGTTTTGACTCTTAATGTTATGCAAAGCACATGCAAACATCTTTCAAATTAAAGAGATCCATGTCTTCCATTTCTCTGACATTTGGAATTTTTCAAGACCGGACAGCAAAGGGACAGAGTAGCACCCTGACTTACACAAGACATCACATGCATCTGTAGACACTCATACACAAGCATGCATCTTCACGCACACTCTGAATTGTCAGATTAATGTTTCAGTGTTCTATCATGTCTTCTACAAAGCTACTTATGACCAACATTGCCCATATACCAATGTAAAATTAAAAACCAAGTCTACAATTGATTGGTCTTATCCATTCAGAAAAATGCCACAGAACCACCATGAAACCAGTTTTAATTCTAAGCCTTTTTCTGTGAGAGTTCATTCATCAAGTCCCAGTGACCAGAAAAGAGGACGCTGCACAGACAAGTTGTCCTTAGTTTTTGATGGGGATCACATAATTGCTTTCATGTCTGTTCCCATTCTGTCAAACAAGAAACACAGAAGCAAAGTCAGGGAATCCAGAAGACCACACAGTAGACCATATAACCCCATTCTCATGAATTTTCACCCTCCCTGCATCACCTGATGTCTTTACCTATTTCATTTTTAATCTGGATGTATCTGGCCACAAGTCTGGCGGACTATTGCCTTAAATGCATTTAGGAATGAAGTGGGAAATAAACATATGAAAGGGAATAAGTAGCAGTGATAGAAAGGGGAAGGAAATGAAAATGTAAAGATGTGCTTAGTGAAGGATTAAGGCAGGGGGTTTCAGAGAGCAAAGAGCTAAAGGACACTGTGCCTGGGGAGCCCCGGGGCAGAGGAACTGGCATTTCTAAAGTAGAGCCTTGCCTCGGCAAAGAAGCTCATCACGCAGGTAACTGGGACTTTCTGCACTGCCCACAATGAGAGAGGATCAGCACACAAGGAGTTGAAACTGCATAATAGCTCTTCTAAACCCTGAGCATGCCGAGAAGCCAACTCTTAAAAACACTCTAAACCATGTGTTTGAGTCAAACCCAGTAGGAAAGAGACACTCGGTCTTCTTTTTTTTGCTTCACTTTTGCTGATTCTGAACAATGGGAATGAGTACCTTTCATCCTGGTCCTCTCCACCTGCCAGCTTCAGGGTGTGTGAAGTCAAGGCTGCCACCTGACAAGGCTTTGAAACAGCCAAGGAGCTTTGCCTGGGAGCTTGGTCTACTGTATCTCATTTATCAGGATTTCTTCATACTATTTGAATTTTCCAGCCTATGTTAGAAAATAAATGCTTCATTCCCACTCAGGGCAGAGGGCAGAGGTGAGCTCCAGGCCCCCTTCCTGGTCCCCACTTCCTTCTGCTCGCCCTCTCCTGGACTGGGAACTGCAGCAAGCTTGGCTTGCCCCTCTGAGGACCGAGCTACCAGGATCCTTCTGAGAAAGCCTGCCTAGGCCTGCCTCCACTTAGGGTAGAAGGCAGAGTGCAGAGTGAAGAGGGCAGAGCTCTCACCCACCGGGAGAGGGAGTATCTGAGACCCATCTGCGCCCACCATGAGAGCCATCAGTGAATTGGCCCTGCTGTACACACCAGCAAAGAAACCTGGACTCATACTCACCAGGAAAGGAAGAGACTCCACTTGTACCCACTGAAAGAAGGAATGGGAAGATGACAATACAAGAACAAGTTCAATGACAAAAAACAATGATGCCACCAGAGTCTCAACACCAGCAAGATCTGAACATCACAACACAGATGAAACAAAAGAGAATGACCTAAAAAACAACTTCATGAAGATGATAGTGACCTTAAAAAAAGAAATGAGAAAATATTTTAAAGAAATGGAAGAAAAGACAAACCAAAAATTACAAGAAACAATTCAAACAGTACAAGGTTTGAAAGCTGAAATAGAGACAATAAAAAAACACAGTCTGAAGGAATGCTAGAACTAGAAAAGGTGAGCAAATGATCTGGAACTACAGATGTAAACATAAACAACAGAATACAGGAGTTACAAGAGAGAATCTCAGGCATTGAAGATTTACTTGGAGAAATAGATTCATCGATCAAAGAAAATCTTAAGTCCAACAAATCCCTAACAGAAAATATCCAGGAAATATGGGAAACTGTGAAAAGGCCAAATCTAAGAATAGTAGGTATAGAAGAAGGTGAAGAAACCCAGCTCAAAGGTACAGAAAACATATTCAATATAATCACAGAAGAAAACTTTCCCAACCTAAAGAAAGACATGCCAGTGAAAGTACAAGAAGCCTACAGAACACCAACTAGAGTGGATCACAAAAGGAAGTCCCCTTGCCACATAATAATCAAGACCTCTGAACATATAGAATAAAGAAAAAATATTAAGAGCAGCAAAGGAAAGAGGCCAAGTAACATACAAAGGCAAACCTATCAGAATCACACCTGACTTCTCCATGGAAACTCTGAAAGCCAGAAAATCCTGGATAGATATTCTACCAACACTAAGAGACCAAGGATGCCAGCCCAGACTGCTATACCTCCAAAGTTTTCAATCACTATAGATGGAGAAAACAAGATATTCCATGACAAAACCAGATTTAAACAATATGTATCCACTAACCCAGCCCTACAGAAAGTTTTGGAAGGAAAACTTCAATCTAAAGAAGGTAACTATGCTCACAAAAACATAGGCAATAGATAATTCAACCTTACCAAAAGACAAAAGAAAAAGGGGGGTAAATCCACAAACAATTA